TTGCCAAGTTATCTGTTCTCCAAGGCACACAATTTGGTCATGAAGCACATCTGGTGCCCTGATACTGGGCAGGATGAAAACTGCTTCTTTGTGGAAGCACCTAAGCAATGGACCCGCACGGTCCATGCAAATTCCACAGGGTGCCAGCACCAACAAAATTAGCTCCATCACTGTGAACCAGGATGATCTAATGATCAGAAAAGAGCATCAGCTGCTATTCCAGTTTACAGGCTGAAGTATACCCCATCATCCTGCCTGTTAGGCATGTTTACCACATAAATCTTACGTCTCTTATTGCCCAACATACGGTGATCAAGTGATGATTACTCTAAGTAAATAACTAAATTTAGCTGAAACCAAATTGCACTGAGAAGTTTCACCTTCATTGCAGCTACATATTTTTCCAGATTGTTCCATCAGGTGTGTCTGATACATATAGTGTAGCTAACCTTTCAGAGGGCAGCATTTTTATATGCAGCTACAGCTTTCACTAGAAGCTGCTATTAGATTTTACATTTATAGTTAGTATTTAGGTGCTAAGCATATGCAGAATCTAACGGTGGAATCAAGGTATAGATGAGCCTGCCAACTTCTTCATTAAATTTTGTAATTTTTTCCTCTTTTCACTCCACTCACTCCGTTTCTTTATTGGTTTTTCTATAAGGCATTTATTCTACAGAAAATAATTGCCACTACAATAGATTATAATCTTCTCTTCTATACTCTGTATTTTTGTATTCTGCATCAGAGTCATCCTTCCTCCTCCTCATGATCTATTCATGGTAGAAAATGCAGGGCATACTTCTGAGACAGACTACAAATGTATCTTGGCTTGAAAACAAAGTTAGTACCTCTCAGCAGAGACGATTACAAGCTTTAAAATATACTTTAATTTGACTCAACTATCATTATAAAAGATTTGAGTTACCTTATAAAGAAACAGCATTGACTGAGATCTGCTAAAAATTTTTCAAATAATGAAAGCCTAGACAGAGTAGCCAAAGGTGCAAACTATTTGAATATACTGTATTAATAAAATATTGTTACTGTTAACAAAAAGTTAAAAGAGCATAGTGCCCGTACTGTGTGTCTTCCTCCACTTAAATCTGCAACAGTAGTATTAGTCACTGGCCTGATTCTGTGGTATGCTGAGTGCTTCTCACAAAATACTGAACTGAAATTCTTTGTGATTATCTGAAATCTCATCTGGAACTTGTTCAAAGAATAAAGCTATGGGGAAAGCATATCTAAACTTTCTAAATGACAAAGGAAAATCTGTATTATATACACAGACTATGCATATTGACCGCTACATTGTTATTACTTAACTGTGTAAAAATCCATTTGATAGTTTGTTGATAACTTGACTTCATGTAATTTAACTGACCCTTATTTGCTAAGATACTGTGTAAGCCAGAGTTTGGAAAGTAGCCAAAAAAAAAAATAAAGAGAGAGAGAAAGAGAGAGAGAGAAAGAGAAATCAGATTAAACTGTAAATCTGTGGTTGGCATAGGTTTAGCAAGCAGTGCAGAACATATGGAATGCAGAATCTTGTGCTAGTTCTTTGAAACACTAGTATTAAATTTATGACAAACGCCTGAACCAAACAAACTACATCATCTTTTTCAGTTCTTAAAGATATAATGTGACAAAGAAACAAAATTAGAAAACAGCGCGCCACTATTAAATACCAGTTCATAACTGAGATAACAGGAAATATTCTTGCCATTTTGGTTTATTAGTCATATTTCAATTGAAGATTAAAGTTAGTATTCTCCAGTTAAAAACCATCCTGTGACCTTAAATCTACAGTCCTATCTACCCAAACTGCAGCATAGAGTAAAAAAAAAAAAAAAAAAAAAAAAAAAAAAAAAAAAAAAAAAAAAGAAAAAAAGTTAACAAAAACTAGAATATTAAAATAAGATTTGACGAAGCAAACAATACACTAAGGACAAATCTGTTTTGTCAAACTCCTCTCAGTACTAAACACTGCTACCAATAAAAAGTATTACTTTCACTAAATACGTAAATTTGAATATTTATCAGCCTCAATTTATTACTTCTGTAACTCTGCAATTCAGGGATGTCAAGAAACAGTCCTCCATCACATATCCCAAAACCTACATCAGTGCATGCCCACACGGACCTCATCAAGTAGCCAAAGAGCTGCCCTTTCATTGCAAGTAACTGACTAATATCTAAGCTGGCTCTAAAGAAAGACACTTTTCATAATCGCCCAACAATCTGCTAAGTGAAAACATATGGATAGGCTTAGGTAAAGCCTGCCAGGGGTCTTTACTGAATGGAAAACAGGTGCTCCAGTTCTGTGCCATGTAATACCCCATTTACCGTTAAGTCCAAAGGTTACAGGACTAATAGCTGCCTTGTGGTAATCAGGGAAAGCAAAGACACTAGCCATGGCCAAACATCTGGGACATATTTTACGTACTTGCAACATATGCTTCAGTTTCAATTAAAGTGAGGCTTTGGCACATTTATTAATCTTTTTACTTTTATCGCATAAGAAGACCCATTGACCTGACTTTTCTATTATACCATATGAAAAAACAGAGAAATAATAAAAGCCAGAGGTCACTACCAGCTGGTGTTACAAAACGTGCATTTCTTCCCTCAAAAAACTTCATTTTGCACAAAGCTTTACAAATACATACATACGAACTAAAATAATGTGAAACTGTGCTCCTTTTATTTTGACACATACACACATAAAAAGAACAGCAGTAGTTAACAGAGTATGACTGAGTGTATCACACACACAAAAAACCCAAACCCTCTAACAGAAAAACAAACTGTCCTAACTATACACTTAGGTTTTACAATTTAGCTCAGTGTGCTATAATGCCCACTTCAAGTACTACTGAATGTACACAGTAGCCCATATATTTTATTAAAAAAAAAAGAAGGAATTTTACATTCAAATGGGGTTTTTGACAGCATATTACATTATGAGAATTCAAATAAATTGTACTAATGAAGACAGCTTTGAATTTATAAAAATCAACCTAAACAACTTTTGCATAGAAAGATAGCCTTAAATATGCAATAAAAAGGCTCACTGAATGTGTACATGGTAATGTTAAGTACTCGCTTTTATTCAGCCTCGCTAACTATATCTAGAAAAACATTAGAACTCTGGTATCAATTTCAGAAAGCTAAATATTAGATCAGAACATTAAAACCTAGAGTGATATTTCTAATTGGATATGTTCCTCTGGGCATTTGTTAACAGCCATAGAATAGGGATTTTTTTGCCCCCCTGCCCCCATTTCCCCTTTTTATGGAGTTTGTTTAGCAATTTCCAAAAACAACTAAGTAGTAACTAAGCAGACTGGCTTAAACTACAAGTAGTGAAGCATTGTTTGTGACCTAATCATAGTTATTAAAATTTCCAAGAATACACATACTGTTGGGATGGTACTCTTGCACCAGCTCTAATAATAAAGCAAGAGAAAATGGCTACAAATGGATGGCAGATCAGTGTTTATCAGAAGACAAATGATGATTCAAAGCCAGCACGTTGAGTTAAAATACAAGCTCTCCACAGCTACATGACTGACCTTTGCAATAAATCATATATTTTATTGCCAGAAGTGTATGCTCATATCATTTAGTGTTAAAAACCACCACATATGTGTTTTGTAAAAGACGGTTTTGTCACTACAGTGTTTGCTGATTCTGAAATGATGTAGCTAATGGTTTAAGTGATGTATAGAAGAATTTCACATAATATCTTTCTGTCAGTTGTAAAATGTTTGAACTGGCAATGGAATGAGGAAAATACTCATTTTTTTATCATCTCTCAAATCTTAGGTGTTAGCTAACAGAAAAATAATCATTCAGGGGATTAACTAATCACAGTGAATTTTCTGACATTTCAAATGCTGCTGCCAGCATATGAATTCTTACAGTGGTATATAACTGTACATCTCAACTAGAAACAAAGGTCAAGGGCATAAATTAAGATACACTGTTTTTCTCCTCTCAAAAAAAAAAAAAATCATTGCTTTCCTACAACAGGAGTGGGGGAACATCTGTGAAGGTCAAAATCATCTGTATTTTAATTCAGAGCTGTTGTAAAATTATCTCTTTTTTCTCTCTTTTCTTTCACAAATATCATTTTACTGGTATGAAAATACCAGAAACAACAAGGGTATCTTCACTATACTTGTCTCACCAGAAAGCTGTCCTGCCAGTGCTAGCCACTGCTTCAACGGTGCAAGGTCATTCTAATTTCTTTTTTCTGTTTTTTCCCCTCTCCCTGGGGGACAACCAATCCAAGCAGTCCCATAGCTTGGCTCAATGAGATGTGGAAAACGAGCTGTTATTTACTGTGGTTGCAATCCTCAACCCAACCAGCAACCTCCAAACTGAACCACATTTTCTCAAATAGCTGAATGATCTGCAATAGTTTCCCTGCTTGCTGGGCCACAATGCCAACTCCACGCCAAGTGGATGTCTATGAGAATTGTGATTATTTAAATGTCATACAGAGTGCAAAACATTTCAGCCATTCTTCCACCAAGTAATTCTTTGAAAATTATAGATGTCAATATCCCATCTTTAACCAGTATGGAGTTGCTATTTTTACACCATCCTTCCCCTAAAGTGCAGCCCTATTTGTAATACTCAAGACAGGACAAATTTTTGTCCTTCAAAAACAGTTGTCACTGCAGTTATCTTCACAAGAGCTATCAAGTTCCAGACATGCTGAATTATTTTTGTTCCTGGCAGAAAAAATATTTGACCCAGCTCTGGACCAAAAAAAAAAAAAAAAAAAAGAAAAAGAAAAAAAAAGCAGCAGGATTTATAGTCCCCTATCCTTTCCTGCAACACACAGTAGCATTGTTAGGATGATAAACAGCTCTGTCCAATTTTCTGGACTAAAACACTTCAACTCCTTTTTTTAACTGTCTGTAAAAACAGTGTCATGTCTAAATTCTCCCATCCCCAGGTACCCAAGTGCTAGGAAAGATAATTACCTTGTCATCTCTGTCATCCTCTTCTTCCTCGTCCTCTAGCATGTCCTCCACTACCTGCAGACAGAAACAGTAGTAGTTGTCATGATTTAAAAAGGAAGAGTTTTGTTCTGTCAATTGTGAACCTTTTGTAGATGAAAACTTTATCAACATTTGAAATAAATGCACAGAAGGAAAATGTACAACTAGAAAAAACACTTGATCTAGAGATTCAAATTTAGGAAAGCGTTATAGCTTTAATTGACCTACATTAGGGAATTTTACACTGAAAATCTTTCCTGTAAAAAATGCTTGCTTGACAATTTAAGTATTTAAAAGGTAGTTCAAAATTCATTGCGTGATAGATTTAACTAAAGGAATCACTTGTCAGCTCCACTGGTGGCTACACAGTACACACAAATGCTTACTTTAAGTTTACTGATATCTGGAGAAACATGCAACATTTTTAATAGAATTGCCAACGTTCACCAAGAGATTTTTAGAGAATTCAGTGCTAAGAATAAATTCATACTAGCTTGTCTCTTTATGATCTGCAACAGTGATATACACTGCACATTCCATTAGCATTAGCACTATGTTTCTTAACATTGATTTTATACAACCTGTGCATCATCTAACCTTCTGCACGTTCATTGCTAACTGCAGTTACCACACGTATGCATCAAAGCGTTTTTTCCATCTAAACAAATTCATTTCAGTCTAACACTCTGAAATACATAAATATATACACAATTCATTTTTTACAAATATTAATTATTAATCACAGCATGAACACTGAAGGAAACGCTACTAAATCTCTTTACAGAGAGAGGAAATGACTTTCAAAAGATGGTCAGTGGCAGATTCAGACTTAAAACCCATAAATTCCTCTCTCACAACACTGTGATCAAGCCCGTAGCCTACCCTGTGGGGAAACTTCTCTATTAATGAAACTAAAATAAAGTTGTATCTCTTTATACTAGAAAAGAACGTGGCTCTTTATATTACGATTTTTTTTTATTAAAATAAAAGAACATCCACAACGAATCTGATCAATGATTCACCTAGCTCTGTGGATGCTTAGTACATCACATACTATAAAATATACATAAAAGGTTAAGAAAAGAATAAACTCATTGATGCAATATATTAATTTTTTGACTTCTCTTACACTGAGTTTCCAGCAGTTGAGATAGTACTTACTTTTTTATGTAGATGAAGTTATAAATTATTATGCAGTATCATTTTAGTGTACCTTGTCATTTAAAACAAAACATGAAAATTATAATTTTGTAATTTCTCCCCACACCACAGCTGAACAGATATTCCCATTAGATTCAAGTCCACGTGCAAGCACTAAAGGACTTTAACACTAATCCAAGGGCCAAATTCATTCTTAAAAATGTTAACAAAAAGTTAAAAAAAAAAAAAAAAGAAGTGAGATAATATAATTCTGAATATCAGTTGAGGCATCTGGCCTTTGGAGTGGCAGGGGCGGGCAATTGTCAAGATCCCAGTCAGTCATGTTACATGTGCCCATGCACAGACAGCTATAAACGACATGTACACTGAGACTTGATTTAACATGCAAGTAGAAGGAACAATTAATCCTGAATTCATTCCTGCAAAACAGAACAATTTCACTAGGAGTGTGACCAGCCTTCTGCAACCTAGCACAGTCTCCGACCTGAGGATGGTCTTTACAGAAAGAAGGCAGGTGTGAGTCTCCATAGGTTGTAGGAAGAATCAAATCCATGTTCTAGTGCCAAACTTAAAAAAGCACCTCCCTCACTAGTTTCTCCTGTGCTTGCTGTTTAAGTCAGCTCTGCTCCGTCAGAGACAACAATCAGAGTTCAGGACTGTGACAGGTGGGTCACACTTCTTAGCAGTAAGAGAGGAAAATGTTGAGAGCATACTGCTGAAATGCTTGTTAGCTATTTTTATACAGCTCCTGGCTAGCTCAGTGGGCTATTTTATAGATCCCACTTGGAGGTGCTTGAGGATGTGGTTTCATATACTCTTCTATGGAAGCAAAGACATTTTCATTTTCCCATGCACCTGCTTCATCTTGAACTGCTTCCTCCTGTCCTCTCTTTGTAGCACACTGTCTTCTTAATTGCGCTGTTCCAAGCGTTTGTGGAGCTGAGCTATAAGCTACATCACTGGAATGATCAAGTTGTTCTTTTTTAAAGAAACCTAAATTTTTTGACTTGGATCATTTCAGTGGCCCAGTTTACAGAACAGCTCCAGAAGCACTTGCATCAGCTCTACTGAGGAAATGGTGAACTGAGAAGAGAGGATAAAAATAAGCTGTTAAGGGTTGCAAAGAGACGGAAACCTCTTAAATCAGTTTTGCCACACACAAGTCTCCAATTACATCATTTGGTGACTAAAGCCCAAGGTATAAACCTGAATCTGTTGACTGAGACACTGCCTACGCCTAGAGCTAACTCAGCAGGTCTCTTACTTTTCAACACTAATATTCTCCAGACATTTAAAGATCTCTTTTATGTACATGCAGAAATTCATAGTCTTGACAGGATTGAACAGCAGAATGCCTATCTCACATTAGTTTGGAGACAATTAGATGAATTGGAAATGTCTAAAAATTGTTGCAAATGATGGCACCTCACTGAATCACTTACATGACAATACCCATTCTAAATTATCTGGATAATAATACTTCTAACTCATACTTTATTTCTTCATCTAATGATTTCAAATGACTTTACAAGCTTTTACAGAGTGGCAAAATGTTAACTTGTTCAAAGGACACAAAAAGTCCTTTGAAATCCCTTGAGCCAAGGACTGAGCCCAGATTTTCAGCTTCTCCATTCCATATTTTAAATCCAAAGCCACTACCAATCTACACTCATCTACACAATGAAATATAGTCCATGCTTTCACGCATCTTGAAATTCAAAAGTAGGAGTTAAAAAAAAAATTCTTAAGAAAATAACGATACAATATTACAATTGATTAAATCACCCAGGGCAAGTTTCTTCAGGACTTTGTTACACAAATTGAAACACGGAAAATAGGTGATTTATAATCATATGCTGTATGAAGAACTGGTATGCTGAAGCCACTGAAGTACAATCCATTTTTGCAGAAGAATGAAGCAAGAGTTTACAAGATAGGTTCAGTGAACCTGAGCAACAGATTTTAATGTTGTGCTTAGAATACTGTAGAAACAAAAGCCCACAATGGATTTTTTTTTTTTCCTGTGATTCTCACGTACTGCTATTCAAATAAACTACATGTCTGCCGTTTCGGTTTGAAGCAACATAGTACAGTTACTCAGATCTCTACATCAAC